TGTGTGTGTGTGTGTGTGTGTGTGTGTGTGTTTTTCATTTGCAGCGTGTTGAGCTCTCTCGGCCACCATACAAAAGGTCCAAAAAATGAAGTTGAAATGACGTTATACTTGCTGTATACAGCATACAGCCAAGCTTAATATTACTAATGCAACTGGAATACGTGCCTCTACCTACATTTTCGCAACTCCAAAATCATATCTACATACAATTCCCTGCAGTTTCCAACTGAAATGAACACTAGTGACAGTAAAACACCAAACGAATACATTTTGAAATTTGCATCACATAGCCAGCTCCATATGTTTTGCTTTTCTAATATAGTAAACTTGCTCGGTAGCGCACCCGGTACAACTTTGCACTTGTGATGTGAACGAGTCCCTTGAAACACAAGTTTTGATAAAAGTGCTCAGACTTGTAGAAGCAAGATAAAATGGCATGGTTGTTTCAGCAAATGCATTTTTATCTCCTGTTTGCTTATGTTAACACTCTTGTTTAGGCCACTCACCAAACTCACCAGTTCATTTAATTTATGAACTGCCACGATATGCACAACAACCAATGTGATAAAATGTTGCCAGATTCATATCTGTTTCACAAAAAAAAAAAAAAAAAAAAACAAAAAAAGATTTAAAAAAAAAAAAAAAAAAAAAAAACTGAAGAGAGTTTTACTTTGAAAGTGTCGTAAAATGTGCAAGAAACAACGTAATATCATTTTGCACAAATGTCTCCATAGTCACATTTTCCAATGAGATCGGGTTGTGCAAATGATACATATATGTTATATACAATATTGTGATATATAAAAATAAAGCTTTTCTTTCCTGTTTTATTGCTTAATTTACACTTCCACTGCTGACAGAACACACCAGATCAATTCAACTCGTTTGATTCAAGTGACTCAAATTTGCTCTTTAGTGGTCTGTTGCACACCCAAATAGGCGGTTAAACGTCCTCAGTAGCCGAGGTGGCTGTGTTTGTTGGGCCAGCTAGCCTTACTGTCGTCAGCTGCTGTGGTTATGGTTATTTCAGGGCATCACAGTTGGTGTTAGCCAGGGCCATATCCAGAGAGAGGGAAAGCTTCACTGCTGTCATCCCACACACTACTGCCCCTGCAATTTACTTGATTTAACTGCATGTGCCATGTAATTATGAGGGTCTGGAGCCACAGTGATGAGTGTGCAATTCTCTCTTCTTCCTCTCGCAGTCCATGTTCTCCCAGCCGGCAAACCAAAGGAGGAACTGTGGAGTCTGTTGGAAGGTAAGCCACAAAACTGTTCAACCATATTGTCTTGGACCAAGAAAAAGTGTTACTAAACATGTTTCAGATGCAGGAAATAGTCTAATAGAAATGGAAGAGAATAGAATGGCAGTTTTTCTTAAAGAGACAGTTCACCAAAAAGTCAAATGCATATGGACATGTCCTCTTTTTGGACCTAAAAAAATGCATCCGGCCGGGATTTCTAAATCGTCCAAAATGTCTGTATTGTTTGTATTAAATGTTTGTATTAAAGCCCTGCGCAGGACTGTCTTCTGAATCCCGCTCCCGCTGAATTTCCGACCATTGCTGCCTGCTCCCACAAACATTCTAATATTGAATAAAATGTTTGCACATTGTGTTGGATGCAGGGTTGCCAAATAAACTCTTGTTTAGGGTTGATTTTCTCCTGTGGGTTAAAGGTTTGAAATATTGCATTTTGACTGAAATGCTTGTATTGAAACATTTTGCATTCTATCTATGATAAAAACTGTGGTAGATGTTAAGTTTTGTGAAGGAAAGTCATTTAGCTGTGTTTTTGATCAATCTGCATAACGGTGACTGTAAAATATGTATATTTTAGATATGGAAACAACATATTTTGAGTTTTGATATTTGGGATATGGTCATTGCGCTACTTTGGGGGCTTCTTTAACCAAACTCAAACCCAACAAACCCTAATTACTAATTACTCAAGTATTACCAAATCAGTCTTCAGTAACTACTAGTGATCTGGAGATTCATTTAAAAGTGAAAAATGTTTTTCATTTTAAAGTACTGGTCCAGATCGCTATTATTAACTTATTTATGATTACTCTAAAGTGTTACTAAATTTGCATTATTTGCCAAATTTGAATTGAAGTTTGACATCTGTGCCATTTAAATGTCACTGGTTGTTCTGTGTTTCTTGACAAACCTGCTTATATTAGAGAAGATTAGTGAGAAAAAAGAAACAAAAAACATTTGAAAGGCATGAGGTAAATGAGTAAATTTACCTCAATACAACAAGGTTATACAGAATGGTGTTTTTATGTGTTGTTACTGTTGTGTCGTATGGATATTTTCTCTGCAGTAAACACACAATATGCATTTATTTCAGCTGCATTAAGTGTATTTTTTGTGTGTTTCAGATGTGTATCTATGTGCTGTGCTGGTGTGTTGTGTTGGGCTCTTGTGCATGTGCATGTTCACTATAGCTGTGAGCTGTCAGTATCTGCAGAGGAAGAGACGATTAAAAGGTATGATTCTCGCTCTTGATGATATAAAATAGTCTGATAACAATAAAAGGAATAGTTCACCCAAAAATTTAAATTCACTGAAAGTTTACTCACCCTCAGGCCATCCAAGATGTAGATGAGTTTCCATAATATATATTCGTTTAGAGATGTTTTGGACTGTTTTTGGCTTGTAAACGGTGCTCGATCTGTGCAGATTTCTCTCCTGATTCATACGAGACAATATTATGGATAGAGGACTATATTAGCCGGAAGTTAAAACGTCTTAAAAACAGGTTTTTGTTTCTTACAAGTGGATGTTTTGTGGTGTGGATTATTGTGATGTTTTTATCAGCTGTTTGGACTCTCATTCTGACGGCACCCATTCACTGCAGAGCATCCATTGCTGAGACACTGATGCAATGCTACATTTATCCAAATCTGATGAAGAAACAAACTCATCCTACTCTTGTATGGCCCGAGGGTGAGGACATTTTCAGCTATTTTTTTCATTCTTAGATTAACTATTCCTTTAATGTGCATGTTAATGATGCTCTTGTAATAATCTTAATTATATAATCTGCTCATCAAAATTTTTTCATATGCTCCTTTTTGGCAGAAAACTATCATTTGGTCAAGAGTCCACAGAACAGGTGAGAAAACATGAAAATGTATAACTGCATATGAGAAGGACAACCTTCTTCACAAACTGAAACCGTGTTCATGTGTGTCCAGTTCAGGCGAGACGGTCACTAGTGTTGTCAGTCTCTCTCCAGCTCTTCCCAAGAAGATGAGAAAGTATAAGAAAAATAAAAGTGTGGAGCAGCCAGACGTGCCACCAGAGATACCGGCTAAAGGTAGAGTAACATTCCCAAAATGACCTCTATATGTCACCTTACATTATTTCTCAAGTGTATATATCTTAGTTTATTAGCTAAAATATTCCAATATTCCATCTCAGCCCCTATTGCAGACAAAATGCGAAAGCCGAAGCTTTTAAAACCTCAACCCAGAAAAGTGGTTTTGGTAAGTTACATAAATGAAATACACAGAAATGTATTATTTGTACTGCAGAACTGCCCGTTGTTGTATTTAATATTGTTTTATGTGAGCTGTAACTCTGCTGTTGTCCTGAACCAACAGCCTAAAATTGCAGAAGAGAGTCTGATGTACGCTGAGCTCGAACTGATGAAGCCGCTGCCTGAAGCTAAAGCTGCAAAGACAGGAACGGTGTACGCTCAGATACTCTTTGAGGACAAGCCTGTGTAGCATTGCAGTTTCTTAAAGAAAACTTTATTTATAATAACACAACATTGATTTTATGTGTCACCATTTTTCTGATGTTTTATACATGCAACCTTAAAGTGAATTGCACATATTGTATATATAAATATATTCTTTACTTTCTAAGTTGTTCTATCTGTGACAAAAAAAAAAAAGTTACATATTTAGCAAAACCAAATTACTGTCATCCGAAAACTGCAATCTGTAACTAAAAGGCACATTAATACAGTAGCCAACCAGTCTCAGAAACAACTTTTGCAAAAGATTATGTAAAGGTAAACACCAACAAAAAAATATCCATTTGAATTGCCACAAGCTGTTAATAAACTAATAATTTATATGAGGTTATTTTGCACAAATATATTTCGACAACAAAAAACATGGAAATCTTCTCAGGAATGTTCTGGGTTCAATGCAAATGCATCTCTCTGAACAGCTTCTGTGGCCTGCACTTGATGTATTTCAGCTTATATTAATTATTCTGTAAACAGATGCGTTATTTGAGCTATAAAGTTGTGTAAACCATCCGTTTAGTGACGGGACTACTTTTCTAGGCAGATGAACTTGAATTTTGCAAAGTTTTTTTGTTAGTTTTTTTACCGTTTAACAGTACAATCTTGTACCTTTATGTCAACTTTGGTGGTTTTCAGCTCAAATTATTGAGTTTAAATGCTTTATACATTATTGTAAAAAAAACTTTTGAGTAGACATGCTAATAAATGACTTTTTTTACACCTGACTCAAGTTAACATGTAAAAATGTTAAATATAATGTAAATGTTGTGGCTTTTGAAACTGTATTTTAACATTTATTCTGGTGCACAACTTTCATTATACACTGATAAAATGATTTTCTTAATCAGTATTTTTGTCTTGTTTTCTACTATAAATATCTAAACATTCTTACACCTTAAAGCTACAGTCCGTAAGTTTTGCCTCTTTGTCGCCATCTCTGTTTGAAACCTTCAATTGCAGTTACTTAAGGAATTATCTTCATTGCGTGGGTTGTGCTCCGGCACGGCTCCAGCGCGGATGAATCTAATGTTTTGAGGTGAATGTGTGGCTTTTATTCACCGCACCGGTGTGGATATTCACTGTACTTAGGAATCACAGATTCTAGCATACGTCTTGGAATATATGACCCAAATAAGAATTTTCACCGGATATTGTCATCAGAACAAAGTAACAAGTCTGCCACATTTGTTCTGACCAACTGAGAAAAAAAGCATTACAATAAATTGCGCTACCAATGATGATTAAATCTAACGATCGATTAGCTCATATCACATCAAACCGTGCAAATTATTATTATTGTTATACTTTATTCTCAAATTGTTAATGTTAACAACATCAGCATTGCTTGACTATGAGTATGTAGTGTGTATAAGCGAGTAGATTTCAATTTCTGTACAGTCTAATCTCTAATTGTCATACCATTCGAATTTCATATTAAGAAATTCTTTTAACCCAAAAAGCAAATTATTTTTCCTTCGAACTGGTTGTCTTTAAAATACAAATCCTGTGTAATCCCAGAATATCCGTAATCAGATGCACATTTAAAACTGGAACAATTTCATTTCAGTCACATGTGTTTCATAAACACATAATCCATTCTGGATTACAATCCGCCATCAGAATGATAAATTTAATTATTCCAGCTGCTGTGAGAAAAGGCTAACGATCCGTCACCTGCAGCATCCTCACATGCGATTTAGCATACTAGCTGGGACTCAATCTTTATGTTTACAGACGTGACGTAATGGCGCGGCAGCATGTTCGAATTTCCCGCGAAAACCTACCCGTAGCACTCAAATTAGAAAACATTATTATAAACTAACCGTTGTGAATCGGGCTGAAGTAAGGCGATAGTTTTGAACACTGGCTGGTTATGCACTTGCTCAAATATTGATTTTGGATCATTTTTAACCAAAAAAAGTTACGGACTGCAGCTTTAAAAAGCAAAAATTGCATTAGATATTAAGTCTTGTTTTTTTGAGAAATTTATTAAAATTAAGTGCATTTAAGCTTTAAAAGAAAAAAATATGCAGAATTCTGCAAGGTCAAAAAAAAAAACTTTATTCAAAGGGGAAAATAGTTACATTTTCTGACAATTTGCAAAAAATATATATATTT